TCACCCATACCTCTTTGTTGTCTCCACCACTTTCTGAAACCAATAGTCCGTTAGGACCCTATCGGAATAATGTATCCAATTCATTATCCCATTAGAGTTTCTGACTACGTTTCAGGGGGCTAAGTGTAATTATCGATACCACAGGGACCTTACAGTTATTTAAGCATACCTCAGGGGGGTGTGTGTAATTTACCCAAGGTTAAAACTTAAGTGTGTGTACTACCGCGTTTTCTTTTTTATTTTAATTTTTTTTATTATTTACGTGAAACACGATTTCATTTAATGTTCAAGTTTAACAATTTATATTTTATACTCGTCGTGGGATGTCGGTGCTTGAAAATTGTAATGGCTAGCCTGGATTTTTTTGGGGATATAATTTAATTAATTATATTTGAATGAGATAAAATTATATAGCATTAATTGATGAGACTTGGCAACAATATAGTGGATGGAATGATCTTTGGGGTGGTTGGAATTAAAAATAATTGTCGTAGATAATATCCATCCTTTCCCTATTAAGGGTCGTTTTAGCTTTGCACAAGTTTTTCGAACTTCAATAAACGTGTTTTGATTTTTGGTAAAAATATTTTTGAAAGACTAAAATAACCATGATTATTTAATGATATGATAAGAGATAATTTATACTTATAATTAAATTAGCAAGGTTAAAATAGAAAAAAATGCATTTAATGCAGTATTGGAAATCCAAAGTGACAGATTATATGAAACAAAATAATTCTAAAAAGAGACAGTTATTATGGAAGAGAGAGTAGTAGTTTTTTCTGTACAAAAAAAAAAAAAAAAAAAAAAAAAAATCATAGAGAGGATAACGAAGTAAGAGCAACTCCAATGGTGAGATATCAAAATGGAGCATTAAATATTCATTTGATGCTTTATATAATACTTTGATACTCTTGAAAAAAAAAATCACTTCAACCATAAGTATCAAATAGATTATCAAATTTTAAGTATATGAATAATTATATTTTTAAATGTCGCGTGTCAAATAGTGATAGGTTAATTGAGTGGTTATATTTTTGATACCTCATTTTCCAGAGAGTATTTTTGCACCTCGAGTTGGTTGAGTATCAAAATGATTCTCAGTTTAATGCCTCCATTGGAGGAGGATTTTTTTAATTTTGAAGTATCAAAGTGGAAGTTTTTTAGTTTGATACCTCATTTAGTGCCTCCATTGGAGTTGCTCTAAGTCGCTATAATCCAACCAGAAGATCTATAATTAGGTGATTAAGTGATTGTTATTCAATACGATTTGAGACAAAAAAATTGCAAGATTACCAAATTATAAAATAATCATTTTGATATCTCAAGATACAAAAATCCTCTTCCAATGGTTTTTGATACTTCACCTCATTGAGATGCAAAAATACAACACGGGACAAAATTAAAAATTCCTTAATATTAGGAATCGCTATTTTAATCCCACAAAAAAAAAATTCAACAAATTTCTACACAATAGGGATTACATATGCCTATTAATTTATTTTTAATCAATTTCATTTAAATAATATATGAGTGTTGAATTACCAAAGTATCATATGAAGCATCAATTGAATGTTTGATTATCCATTTTAATGCCTAATCATTGGAGTTGCTCTAAGTTAGATCGATTCCAATGCTAAACATCAAAAT